TTTTTTTTTTTTATTGCTGGCACACTGCTTTATTTGAGGGTTCATGACATGCCTGGACTGTTTGAAGACAGAATGAACTTACTTTTAATTCCTTCCACAGAGCTAACATAGCATTCTGCCCACAGGTGGCAGCAAGGGTGAGATGGATATGCTAATGTGAAAAGGTAAAACCTTTACCTTGAACAGGTTGATGTTGTCGATCTGGCTTTGAAAGAGAAAGTCATTGATGGTCTTCAGCTCCGTCCCTAAGGGAGACAAACGAGAGCCTTGGAGTCCTGCTCTGAAGAGCCCGGCTTTCCGGTCCCGGAGGGAAGCTCAGAACTGGCGCGGACCAGCTCCGGGCCCATGAGGCTCGTCCTCTTACCTGTCTGTGAGAGGCTCTGTGTATTAGGATTTTGCTTAATGTTCCCTGAAAAAGAGAATTCAAACAAGTCAGGATGGCAGTCCTCTACCCCACTCCCCCGATCATCTCCCACTCTCCACTGTGCTCGTCAAATAAGAACATTTGTATATTTTTTGCAATTTATAATACCCCACTGAGGACAGGAGGTTTTAGAGACCCTCAAAGTCTGACCCACATGTGTGCTATGGAGCTCAAAGCCTTATGCTTTCATTCTTTCTATACCTCCTCCAAGAAGGCAGGGACAGAGCGATCACCCCATTTAACATGGGTGCAAACAGGACATGCACAGGCTGCACAGTAACAGCAGCAAGGTAAATGGAAGCGAAGAGCACCAACGTAAGATAAAATCCCTCTAGAACAATCTCCACTGGCTTTCTGGACTTCTATGAAAGCCTTCAAAGGGATCACTGAGGAAAGGGTCATAGTACAGAATGCTGGAAAGATGCATGGGACCTGGAGCCAGCAGACTCTGGTCTCCCCCACTGGGCTCAGGAACGGTATTCAGGTCACTTCTCTGCTCTTAGCTTTCGTCTCCTCATCTATCACTGAGGGCTGCCTGTGTTGCTTCCCTCACAGGAGCAATCCAAACTGCTATCACTAGTACGAAAAACGTCATACATTTATGTTATTATTATTACTACCTATGGAGTAGGGTCTGGCAAAATAAAAAAGGACTCAGGAAAGTGGCAAATACACTAGGATTCTAAAAATGATCTAAGGTCAGATAACTCAACTAAGCTATAAAAAATTAAAACTTCTCTAAATCAATGGCCAAGACAATTCTGAGGACACAGAAAACTCATGTGTCCTGATGGTGCCTAGAGAACCAAGTCCAGCAAGCTGAGCAGGCCTGTTAGGGTGGGTGTGGTGCTCCTTACCGCCCAGCACAGTTACAAACTTCTCCAAGACATACAGGATCTGTCTGATGTACATCAGGTTCCTGGCCTTCAAACGCTTCCTGAAGAAGAAACAAGGGACATTAAGCGGTGTTATTCCAGCAGCAATTCCCCTTCTAAGTGCCCCAAGCTGAGGCCTTGCTGTCTGGCATCTTTCAAACTGGGTCA